GCTCCAGTTCATACTTATTGAACAGGATTCTCAGTTTTCCAGTGCCTTAAGTTGTTTGATGGATAAGGAAATACTAATCACTTCTAGTTCCCTTCTCTTTATAGACACACAGAAACAGCTAGGCATACCTTTATAGAATCAAGCACACCTTGGTAACTACCTGTGTCTACTTGAATGTGAATAGAATGTCAACATTGCATGAAAGCATGTAACAGCCCCAGCAGTGGGTGCTGTTCTTCCTTTCTTTGCAATTAGTTGTAAGAGTCTGTTAGCATGCCAACATCTGGAGGACCTCTACCTGGAAAGTCATGCAGACTCAGATTTTCTGTAACCAAGAAATAAATCACTGTAGTTTGGTGACTGTTTTACCAAAGTGAATGAACAAAATAGTCTTGCTGCTATCATCCTAAATAAGACTCAGATGCTGAGTGCCAAAATCTTAGCACTCAGGAAGCAGAAGCAAGCTGATGAGCTCTGTGAATCTGAGGTCAGCTTTGTCTACATAAAGATTTAGAGCATCCAGGACTGCTTAGGAAGATCTCATCAAAAAAGAAAAAAATTAGGAAAGAAAGAAAAGGGGTCTGGTGGTGAGGCTAGAACTCAGTGGTAAAACATTTTCCTAGTATGTGTGTATCAAAGAGTTCAGTTTTTTAACACTGCAAATAAGCAAGCCAAAATACTACCAAAAAAGCTATAGTCACCTCATGAACTCCTTTGATACTACCAGAAACATTCCTTGCTCAAATTGTTCATTTGACTATCTATGGACTGCACAAGTGTTCTAAACACTGGAAACAAGTCAGTGAATCGAACATTAAAAAAAAAAAACCTGCCTGCCTTCATAAAGTTTATTGTTCAGAAAGTTAGTACATAGACATCATGGTTAATGAATGCATTAGTAACTTTATTAGTAAAAGATAATACAAGGAAATGTATTACTTGGTATGACAACAGGATTAGATAGTGAGCTGAAGTTTGGAAAAGTTTTGTTTGTATATATAGAAGTATACTCAACTCACATTTTAGCTGCATCCTAGCCATCAAAGTGTTGACACTTGGCTGAAACCAGAAGTTGATATTCATTGAAACTGGAGTGAACTTACAAGTTTAAAACCCCAATAGTTCATCAAAGATGTAGTCTCCAATTGCTTTATGGAGCACTTCAGATATCATTCAAAGATTAACGTTACAGTGATGGAGGCTGTTATTCCACATTTACTCTGACACTGCCGTGTAATTCTGAAACTAAGAAGGTCATCCCCTTCAAGCAAAGAAATTGGAAGAGGTTTCTTTTTCTATTTCCAGCAAATGCCTCTGCTTCTTTAACGTTCCCTTCTACAACCTCTCTGTTGTTGTCGTCTGTATTGGAGATGATATTGTACAACACGCTGTTGATTTTTAATTTAGAAACTTTCCTCTCTGTGAGAAATTTTGAAACTCAAAGTTGACAATATCCTTAAAAATTGTCCTCATACAATGAAGAGATTTCCAAATGGAGCTCTTCATTGAAGACCTGTGGCATACATGCATTTATACACTGAAGATTAATTATAGTACTTAAAGCTTCTTTTGTTTAATATAATCCGAACAATTCTAAGGGATTAGATTTATCGAAAAAGGAAGATAATTTATTTTTTAATTCTATTTATTTTACATCCTAACTTTTTTCCCCTTCCCCTCCCCAGTCACTACCCACCCACTCACCCTGTACTACCCACTCTTCCATTTCTCTTCAGAAAAGGGCTAGCCTCAAGGGCCGTGGCACAGCAAGTTGCAGAAAGACTAAGCACCTCCTTGTTTGTTGAGGCTAGACAAAACAATCCAGTAGGTCGAAAGGGTCCCAGAAGCAGGTAACAGAGGCAGAGACAGCCCCTGCTCGCACTTTAGGAGTCCCACATGAAGACCAAGCTACACAACTGTAACATATGTGCAGAGGGCCTACGTCTGTCCCATGCATGTTCTCCGTTTGGCAGCTCAGTGTCTGTGAGCCCTTATGGACCCAGGTTCTGATTCGGTGGGTTTCCTTGTGGTGGCAGTGACCCCTCTGACTCTTAGAAACAGTCTTCCCCTTCTAAGGAAGAGAGTTTCTTTTAAAGAAAGGGGTTGAATGAATGCTGGATAGTTCTTATTCTAGTAGACGGAAGGATTTAGAACACAGTAGAGCAACATCTACTACTTTGATGTACATATGTATATTTCAGTTGAAGAACGTTATTTGAAAATGTGGAGAGGTTAGTGCTACCATCTTCATAATCATGGCAGTGTTGCCTGCATTTCTAGCTGGCCTTGTGGAAAGATGAAGGGGCCATGACAGAAGCCAGAAGGCATAGCATATGATACTGTGGGCCTGGGTTTCACCCACACAGAGTGGAGCCGTAGGTGTTGATCCAAAGGTACTCAAGGTGTAGTGATGTATGACATGTATGGCTGCAACCCAAGCTTGAAGATGTTTTCAGTGAGTGCTGGTGGTATTTGGGACACTTTAAACCAAAGTGAATCAAATCCAGCAGAAATAGTGGGCTCTTAGTTCTCCATCAACTGTCTCAATTAAAGTATGAGCTCCCTGGTTTGGAAATGAAATTATGTCAGTCAGCTTTCTGTCCTAGTAGGGAAGAAAAAAGGATAAGTGTCAATGAAGCAAATGTATATATGGCTCTAGTTGTTTCTACAATGTAGCCCTTGGCTGATGATGGCACAATACACAGTGGTAATGTCTGTATTGGAAGAAAAGGGTTAAGTGGCTGATTAACTTATAGTTACTGGTTACTTGGCTACTAAGGAGACACACACACACACACACACACACACAGAGAGAGAGAGAGAGAGAGAGAGAGAGAGAGAGAGAGAGAGAGACTCTCAGAGACCTTCCATTAGGTTCCAAATCCTGATGTTCTTACCTCTAGTACTGCCACAGGCTTAACACAGGAACCTTTGAGAAACAGCTAAGATTGGAACTTTAGGAACTGGAAAGATGGCTTAGTGTTTGCACAGTTGTTTTTCCAGAGGACCTGGGTTTGGTTGCCAGTACTCACACAGTGATTCAAAACATCTGTAACTCCAGGTCCAGGGGACCTCAGCTGGCTTCCTATGGCCCATCCACATCCACATATCCACAGGCAAAGCTCACATGCATTAAAATAGATAAATTTTTTAAAGTAATTTTTTAAAAAGATCGAAACTACAACAGAAATTTATACTCATAGAACTTTGTTTTGATTAGTAAAATTTCTATCATACTAGAAAGAGCAAGCCCGGGACAACTTTTGTTGCCCCAGAGACAATAAGGCAAACAACCCCTTTTGATCACATATTTCTATTCCTTGTCTCCTTTTGACTTTTCATCTCCTCACATTCAACATCTCTGCTGTAAACCTCAAACTCCTTTTGCTCAGTTTACGGTGCTATATGTCTTAGTTATCTGCCACCTCCTTGAATCTCACAATTTTGTGAAATTCCTCTGTATATGTATGAGATTAAATATTATTTTCTCCTCTTAGCCTATCAAACATTAATTTAGCAAGGCACAGAGCATGGAAGGGTATAGTACAAGAGTTTTCCTTCCTCCTACTCAATGAATGAAAATTCCCCTAACACACTTTATCAGAAAAAATACTGACTCCCGTCTTAGTCCTCTTGCATCTGGCTGGATCACAAAAATCATTTGTGGATCATTTTAAGAAAGAAAGAAAGAAAGAAAGAAAGAAAGAAAGAAAGAAAGAAAGAAAGAAAGAGAGAGAGAAAGGAAAAGTGATTCCTAAAATATGATTCTGCCTAGTAAGTTTCATTCACACACATGAAAAAAATCAATCAGTGTTTTAACTAGGCAAAAAATGATTAATACTATATGTGCGTCGAGTGCTCCTAGTTGACATGGACTTATTGTTTCATATAGAATCTATAGAGTCTCATATCAACACTATGAAAACCTCTTATCTCTGTTACAGATGATATGACTAGGGCTTAAAAGGGTAAGCGCTTTTCTTAAAGTTATACAACAGTGTTAAGAGCAAGTACTAATGTTTTCAACCCAGGCAGTTTAGTTTCCAGTAGCAGGGAAAAACTGATTTACACATGTATGCCTGACAAAACCTGAAAGGGTATATTACTAACACCAAAACAAGCTGTTCAGAGGAAATACACTGTGGATGATCAAACCATTCAATTTTCTTTTCTCCCATTAATTCTGTTTTGAACACTCTTCTTTTTTTTTTTTTTTTTTGGTTTTTCGAGACAGGGTTTCTCTTTATAGTCCGGGCTGTCCTGGAACTCACTCTGTAGACCAGGCTGGCCTCGAACTCAGAAATCCGCCTGCCTCTGCCTCCCAAG